CAATCAGAAACAAAGAACATCCAGACCCTAACTACCAGACCTTCTGTTGCCCTGTTAAGGACTTCCCCAACCTCGGAGATGCATGCCTAGTGTAGCCTGATGTCACCTGTATGTGACCTTGCTAGGGTGGCAGTAGTGAACAACACTACCATTTTGTGTGGAAAAAATCCATCAGGACCTACACAGAGCACCAAGCTGTCATGTGCCAATGGGGATGAGCCAGAATTTCAGGCTGAGTGCTAAGAGGCAATCACCACGCCACCCCTACTCAATTAAAGCACCTGTCCCATTTTCATCAAAGACCACTTCCTGGAACCACTTCCTGCCATGCAACACCGCTTGTGTTTCCAGCATAAACTCCCAATAAGCCTTGTCCAGGTTGCACATCGGCCTCCTGTCAGTTTCTGTTTGCAAGTGAATCCAAAAACCTGAAATCAGTAATACAGATACAACAGGTTCTAGAACTCACTACTGGTGCTACCACGGTGGCAAGGCAGGTCCACTTCTGATCCAGATGTTGGTGCACTGGTAAAGCAGCTGAGGATGGCTCAAGTCCTAAGGCTCCTGCACCTACCTCTCCCCTCCCCTTTCCTCCCTTCCCGTCCATCCGTTTCCCTCTCTTCTCCTTAATTCCCTTCCCCTTTCCTTTCTTCCCCTCCTCTCCCCTTCCCTCCCCTTCATTCCTCCTCCTCCCCTCTCCTTCTTTCCCCTTCTCTTCCCACCACTCCCCTCCCCCTCCACCCTTTTCCCCTTCTCTCCCCATCCACTCTCCCTGCCCGCTCTCCTCCCTGGCTTCCAGCTTCTGGATTCCAGCTTTAGATCATCTCAGCTCTGGCTGTCATAACCACTTGGGTGTTGAGAGCTAAGGAGTTGATTAGCATTTGTTAAGCTTGGCTCCTGCAGGAAATGGGCTTTGAGGCAAGTGGCACCTTGTCTGTCAGACTCATTAGCATCCAATTGTTCTGCTAGAGCCTTGGGGGAAAAGTATATATGGCTGAATAAAGGGAGGTTGAGAGAGACCTCTTCCACCACTACTGGTCTCCTGTCGGTGTCTGATTCCCTGACCTTCGCAGTGTCCGTGCTACTGGCTCTGCTGGCCGGAACACTTGGGGAGTGATTCAGCAGATGGAAGATCTCTCTGTCTTTCTTTCTGTAGCACTTTTTTTTTTTTTTAAGACTGCAAAGTCAGATATACAAAGAGGAGGAGAGGCAGAGAGGAAGATCTTCTATCCGATGATTCACTCCCCAAGTGACCACAATAGCTGGTGCTGTGCTGATCCAAAGCCAGGAGCCAGGAACTTCCTCCAGGTCTCCCATGCGGGTGCAGGATTCCAAGACTTTCGGCCATCCTCAACTGCTTTCCCAGGCCACAAAACAGAGAGCTGGGTGGGAAGTGGGGCTGCTGGGATTAGAACCGGTGCCCATATGGGATCCCGATGCGTTCAAGCGAGGACTTTAGCTTCCAGGCCACCTCGCTGGGCCCTCTCTGTAGCACTTTTAAGTAAAATAAATAAATCTTTGAAAATAGCATTTCAAAAAATCTTTTAAATTATTTATTTTATTTATTTATTTTTATTTAAAAGGCAAAGATACAGAGAGAGAAAGAAAGAGCTAGAGCACTCATCCACTGGTTCACACCAGAAGTGCCTGCAGTAGCCAGCGCTGGTCCAGATGGAAGCCAGAAGCCAGTAAATCTGTCCAGGCCTCCTGAGTGAGGAGTGACTCAAGTGTCAGCCCTGAAGATCAATGAGACCCCGTTTTGGATGTCTGCTTTGGTTCACCTAAAGCTTCAGTTTCAGTTTCATTTCTGTTACAAGGCCAATTTTGTACCTGACAACCCTATCCACCAATCCCTTATGGTCTTGTTTCCTCGGCCCCACCTACCACTGCATCTACCCATCCCCATGGTCCTGTACTCCCAATCCCCACCCCTAGGTTATGAAAACAATTCTCTTTCGCTTTCACTCTCTTGCGCTCCTGCTTCTCATTCCGGCCTCCCTTGGAGCTCCCTCCTGCCACTGTCTCTCTTATGCCCATCTTCCTCTGCTCTGCTTTCTCTTCCCTCCCCACAGCCGCCCCTCCTGCTGCAGAAAAGATCTCCTGTGTGATTTGCTGTGTCTGGCGTATATTTGGAGCATCACCTGCTGATTTCACAGGCACATTAGTAGGAAGCTGGGTTCAAAGTGGAGGAGCCAAGACTCAAGCTAGGCATGCTGATAATGAGATACAGGTGTTCCAAGTGATTAATTAACAGTTGCCAACACCCCATGTATCACAATTTTATAATTAGAGAAATTACGTTTTTTGGATTGTTTTTTCTTTTTGTTTTAATTTTTATTTTGAATTTTTGAATTTTATGGTCTAATTTTGTAGAGTCTGGGATTCCCCCCAAAAATCCCATCCCTGACTGAGTTTCCCCACGTTGTTACAGCAACATAGTCCTTCATACTGATTCCATCAGTCTGTTATTTAAGTGTGCCCTGACATTGCTGTACAGACGATGTCAGTCCAGCAGAAACTGTAAGTTTTAAAAAGAGACCAGTAAAATGATCTTAATGAGAAAAAGACTAAAAAAAAAAAAGTAGTAACTACAGACTGAAGAGACAAAATCAAAAGAAATTCAGAAGGTAGAACTGTCAAGACTTTCTAATAGATTAAGAAGGAAGGAAAAGGAAGAAAACCATGGTGACTTGCTGGTTTCTGGCTCGGGCTGCTGGGCAGATAATCACACTGTTCCCTGAAACAAGAAGTGCACGAGAGAGATCAGATTCTGCATGAAAGATGAATAAGGAGTGCAATTTGGAAGAGGATGTGCTTGAGAGACCCCACAGTCATGGAGCACATACTGTGGGGCTCCTTCCTCTCTCACTTTTTCCTCCAATTAGGGACATTTTTGTTTGTTTGTTTTGTGATTTATTCATTTGGAAGGGAAAGTAACAGAGAGTTGGGAGAGAGAGATTTTCCATTCATTAGTTTACTCCTGAAATGGCTACCATGGCCAGGTCTGGGCCTGATTGAGGCCAGGAGCTCAGATTCCGTCTTGTTCTCTTCTCCCACATGTGTGGCAAACACCCAAGCACTTGAATCATTGTCTGTTGTCCCAAGGGTCACCCAGCAACAACAGAAGACCCTAACAAGAACAGAAGAGTGGCTACATCTGTGAGTCCCCTCCCCATTTATGGAACAGGTTGGATGAACCTCTAACCAGCAAAAAACCTTCTGGATGTGTGTTTTCTTCCCTTGCTTTTTGGGTGACACTAGTTGACATCACAAAGATACATGGAGGCAAAGAAGGGGACGCAGGGGGAAATATCCACCTTACTTCCCCAGCTAGGTCAAGGTTGAAACCCAAAGGGAAGCATTGCTGGAGACAGCAGGCCTTGTCTCCTCAGGAGAGGGGTCTTTCATGTTTAGTAGAATCCTTGCCTACCATTGCTTTGGGTGTGGTGGGATGCAGCCCCTCCAAGAAGTGAAGAGTTCAAGGGGCTGGCTCAGGTTTACTGAGACCAGCAACTGGGCTAGGAGAAGCCTGGGTTGAGGGACATGTCCTGGCACAAAATTGTATTCGGTCTGCTTCCCCTGGCACTCACTCCTCCTTCTGGAGCTGTTTGCCCCAAGCTGAGCACACCACATCTATAGCACGAACCTCTACTACTTGAGCCTGACTCCAGGAATAGTGTCAATAAAGGAACTATAGCAGTCTGCATCTCCACTGCTCACATTGGCAGCCTACCCACAAACCTTCAATCCTGTTTCCTTCTTTAAAAAAAAAAAAGAGAGAGAGAGAGAGAACAGTTTATTTCTTTTTATTTCGAAGGTAGATTTTACAGAAAGAGAAGGTGAGACAGAGGTCTTCCAGCCATTGATTCATTCCCTAAACAGCCACAATGGCTAAAGCTGGACCTATCTGAAGCCAGAAGCCAGGAGCTTCTTTCAGGTCTCCCATGTGGGTTACAGGGACCCAAGCTGGGCCATCCTCCATTGCCTTCCCAGGTACATTAGCAGGCCTCCCCTCCCTCCTCCTTTTCCCTTCTCTCCCCACCTCCCCACTTTCTTTCACTCCCCCTTCCCTTCTCTCCCAACCCCTTTCCTTTTCCCTCCTTTTCTCCTCCTCCCTTCCCCTATCCTCTCCCCTCTTTTCTCCTTCCCCATATTTCTCTCCTCTCGCCACTCCTTCCCTTCCCTCCCCTTCACTCCTTCCCTCCCCTCAACTTCTTCCATTCCATCCCACTTTACTTCCCTCCCCTTCCTCTCCTCTTCCCCACCTCCCTCCTCTCCTCTTTTCTCCCCTCCACTCTCTTCCTCCCCTGACAACTCCAGCCTTGCAAGTCAAGACCCATGAGAGGAAACTCTGAGACCTAATGTCAAGCCTCCTCTCCCCCAGCACAGCCTCAGGAGAGGGACTAAGGTCTATTTTCACAAAGCTTGGTGGGGGATTGCCAAGGGCATCTTGAGACCGTGCCATATAGTGCAGCACTTGAAAATGTTTATTCTTTGCAGTAGTGTGGTTTTTCCAAAACTGGTGTATAAATGCAATCTGGAAGGCCAGAGTTGAGCCACTGCTTGAAGGTGAGGGGTCCCAGAGCACTGCTGGGAGGTCACTTATCAGGAGGTTAACACTTAAGGAAAGATCTGCAAAAGCAACATATGGCAATTCAAGAATGGGGTAGATTCTGGGTATGTAATCCTGGGGACTGTCTCAGGCAGGACTTGGGAGTCCTGGCTTCGGGATTTGTGGCACATGATTTAAGGGCTGCTAACAGGTCCTTGGGGGTGGGGTGGGGAAGGAGAAGATTGGATGGCTTCACCTGCCCCAGCCAGGTTTGAACTATGCCCCAATAGCCCTATCTGCCCACTCATAATTAAGACACAAGTCATCAAGTTTTATGTAGTGATTTTTATTGAAAGACTGGAACCTTCAAAATCCCAATGCCCCCTGTCTTTTCTTGTTTATCAATAGGCATCTCTGGCCAAGGAAATCGGGAGCCAGTTGGGATGGTTCACATCTGAATCGCCATCAATTCGAATTCTTCTTCATAGATATCAGGAATCACGCCCACAGGAGAGTTGATCATTTTCACAGAGTTCTTACTAAACAGCTTAAATTCATAGTGGATAAGCTGCTCCCAAAAGCCGTTGTTAGGCCGGATGATGGGGCGGAGCGACATGATCCATGTGTGAGCATCACACAGTGTCATAGCATGGTACTTCATCAGGTATGCAAGGCAGAGTGTAGGTGAACGACTCACTCCTGCGACGCAGTGTAGCAGCGTTCGCCCCTGCCTCATGTCCTCACTGTGAATCTGATCCGCAACAAGATCAAAAAAACTATAGATGTGTGAGGTTGGGGTGTCAGTCACTGGCACCTGCAAGTATTGGATGTTGTCATAGTATGTGTTCACCACTTCCACTGAAGCGTTGATGACCATGGTAATCTGATTGTTGTATAGAAGATTTTCATTATTGGCAGCCACCCCGTTGCTGATGTAAAGGCTGCGGGTTATCTCGGATAGGCTATGGAAGAACGGCTGCTCTACATCAGAAGGAAGTGAACTTTTTGATGGCGGTTCACTTGAGGAGGTTGTCATGAAGATGGTGGCAGGACTAGTCTCTGAACAGTTTTGGGGTACCACCCTCACGAGAGAGTTCAAGGAAAGGCTTCTTGTGTGGGCCTGGCAGAGAGGACTGGTCACAGATCACAGCTCTCTGCCTCTCTGCTCTGCCACCCTCTATGACATCACAGTCCTGGGGTGCTGACCCTCTGATTTCCCTGGCAATTGTCACTTCCTCTTCCTGCAGGGAGGACACAACCCAGTCCTTCAAAGAAACTGTCCCCTCCCACCACTCTCTTCCCCATCTCTTTCTTTCCCATCTTTCTTCACAGTTATTTGTTTCCCGAGGCCTAATGCTCATCTTTCGTGACTTTCTAACATGTTCTGTTGCAACACACCAATTTGAGGGTTCACTTACTGGCCCCACGAAATGCAGTATCTGTGAATGCTTCTGTCTCATCAGTGTTATAGAACGCAGTCTAGATTTCTAAGTTGAGGTTCAACGTTAGGTTCACACGACATGGTATAAATCTTGAGCAAAATATAAATCTCTGTTAATCTTCAGTTAAATACGGGCTGGGTGAGGTAGCCTGCTAGAGCTGGATGGGAAGCAGGGCTGCCGGGATTAGAACCAGCGCCCATATGGGATCTCGGGCGTGCAAGGCGAGGACCTTAACCACTTGTGCCACCGCATCGGGCCCTTTTATTTTTTAATTTACTTGAAAGGCACAGTGGCAGAGGGAGGGAGAGACAGAGGTTGATTTTGCATGCACTGGTTCACTCCCCAAATGGCTGCAACAACCAGGCCAGGCTAAAGTCAGAGCTGGGTACTCCATCCTGATTTCCTAAGTGCTGGGCCATCGTGCACGGCCTTACTAAGCACGTTAGCAGGGAGCTGGATGCAAAGCATGTGGGACTCAAATGGGCACCCATGAATGCCATGGATGTCATAAGACTTTGCTTTCTTTGCTGCACCAAGCCTGCTTTCCTGGTTGATTTTCTCCTAGTCTTTTGTTTTTTAAGGATTTTATTTATTTATCGGAAAGTCAGATATACAGAGAGGAGGAGAGACAGAGAGGAAGATCTTCCGTCCGCTGGCTCACTCCCCAAGTGAGTGCAATGGCCGATGCTATGCCAATCCAAAGCCAGGAGCCAGGAGCTCTTCCTGGTCTCCCAAGTGGGTGCAGGGTCCCAAGGCTTTGGGCTGTCTTCCACTGCTTTCCCAGGTCACAAGCAGGGAGCTGGATGGGAAGTGGAGCTGCCAGGATTAGAACTGGCACCCATATGGGATCCCAGCGTGTTTAAGGCGAGGACTTTAGCCGCTAGGCAATGGCGCTAGGCCCCAGAAAAATCTTTTCAACATCAAGATTTAAACAAATGTTTTGTGGTTTACTTCCACAGTAGTTTGCAGTTTTATTTTTTATGCTTCAGTTATTTCCCTTAGAAAAATGTTTATTACAAAAAATTTCAAAAGTACAGAGTAGCAGCATTAGGAACCATCACACATCCATCACCCTAGAGCTGATTCTTTTTTCAATGTTAACTGGTAGCTAACAGAACCTGAGTAGATTTTAAAAATATCTTTGCTTTGACTTCTTAACCTATGAGATTGGGTCATCTCTAGAGTCCCATTCAGATGTAACTAAAGCCAGCTGAAGCCTGTATGGGCTCACTCAGACACCAAATGTTGCCAGGGTTGGAAAGAGGCTTAGGTTTGCATGTCAATACAGACATGTTGGCATTCAGGTGGAACCTGGAAAGCAAAGAAACTTTCGAAAGGAAAACGGTGAGGTCTGCAACGCGAGGGCTTTCCTCCTTCTTATTTCATCAGGTTATTCTATTTCTCTCACACGCATGTAATTCATGTAGTTTAAAGTAGGAGTTCTGTAAGTTTTGCTATAAAACAAACAAACAAACCGTGTTTACCTTTTACATCGTTTGGTACCTACTGCCCTGGCTCTAGGTCAGTGATATCAAATATACACACAGTGTAATATTTTAACAGATAAGAAATAGAATAATTGAGTAGCCAGCTGTAGGTAACTGCCTAGGTTGATTGTACCTAGGCCCGTGTTACACTGCTGGGGGAAAAGCAGCTAATAGTTGGCAGGCATTCTGGGCCTGATTAATGCCAAGTTGGTGTTAATTATACCAGTGTGCCAGCACTATTTGTTAGTTATTTAAAAAGTTTAAGGCGTAGTTCATGCAGCGAATTCCCACAACCTGGTTCTTTACCGTGAGCTGAAAACACCAGATGCAAAGAGGTATCCTAGGAGGTTTATTGCAGCGGAGCATGAAGGGGGGGGCGGGGGGGCGGGGTTAAGGTGGTGCATATCACCGGGAAAAGGCCGGAAGGAGAAGAGAGAGCGCCGCACCTGGGGGCCCTTTTAGTCTGCAAGATGTAGGGGGCGGGGATTCGGAGGGATTGAGGGCAGGCCCCAGGGGATTGGTGCCTGCAGGTGAATGCCTGGGGATGATTGGTGAGTGGGCGGGGTTGGGGAAAGGGGCTGGGAGATTGGGGGTGGGATTCTCATGTGGAATGCCAGGTTACATCTGATTGGTGGATGGCTAGACCTGCGCGAATTTCGTGAGCTGTGAGGAAGAGGAAATGGCGCCGGGTCCAGGCTGGAATATTCAAATAACTCCTTACATTCTTGCCTTTTTTTGTTTTTTTGGAAGATATGTCGGGGCTGACACTGTCACGCCAGACATGTTTTCTGGAGATGCACCCATGAGCGAGCATTGGACTTCCACCAACATGGCTACGGCACTTGCAGGTAAAGGAGGGGGCTGAGCCAGGGTTTAGAGGAGGGAAACGAGGACCTTTTGGCTTAGTGATTCTCAGGCAGATTAGGAGATGCATGTCTCACAGTGAAATGTTTAGAATTCTTTACTCAGTTTCTGACTCCAGCTTTCTGCTAATACAGAGCTGGGAGGCAGCGGTGAGGTGGACATTTGAGGAATGAACCAGAGAATGAAGAGGACTCTTTATTTATCTGTCTGGTTGTCTATCTCTCTGCCTCTCTAAAGAGATAGATAGATAGATTGATTGATTTCTAAAAATTCCCCACCCCATTTTTTCTTTAAATACCATTGTGTTGATCAGAATTGTGTGTTAAGGCACTGCCTGTAATGCTGGCATCCCATAATGGGTACCAGTTCCTGTCCATTTCTGATCTAGCTTCCTGCTAGTGCTCCTGGAAAGGCAGCAGTGGATGGCTCCAGGACTTGGGCTGTGTGCCAATTGGGAGACCCACATGGTGTTCCTGGGTTCGGCTTCAGTCTGGTTGAATTCTGGCCATTGCAGCCATTTGGGGGAATGAACCAGTAGGTGGGAGATCTCTCTCTCTCTTTTTCTCCCTCTCATTCTCTCTTACTTCTGCTTTCACTCTCCTAACTATGCCTTCAAAATAAAAACTTTTAAAAAGTCTTCAAAAATCCCATTTTTTCATTATACCTTACATTTACAAAAACATTTTTGAATTTGCAAAATCCCTTTATGTGCATTGTTTCATCTACTCCTTCCAACAGACAAAGGAGATGCACAGGGGAGATATTAACAAATGTGACACTGGAGATCAGGAGGATTACATGTAGAACAGATACCTGAATGACAAAATGGAGGAGTTGCAAGTGGCCTCAGTAATAATTTCTTTTGAAAAACGAAGAGACCAAGGCATGGAGATTTAAAACTATTTTTTATTGGAAATTAAGATCTCCAGAGAGAAGGAGAGACAGAGAGAAAGGTCTTTCATCTACTAGGTCACTCCCCAAATGTCCACAATGACTAGAGCTGAGCTGATCTGAAGCCAGGAGCCAGGAGCCAGGAGCCAGGAGCCAGGAGCCAGGAGCCAGGAGCTTCTTCTGGGTCTCCCATATAGGTGCAGGGTCCCAAGGCTTTGGGCTGTCCTCAACTACTTTCTCAGGCCACAAACAGGGAGCTGGATGGGAAGTGGAGCAGTCAGGACACAAACCAGTGCCCACGTGGAATTCTGGCATGCATGGAAGGCGGGAACTTTAGCCATTAGACTGCCACGCTGGGCCCAAGGCATGGAGATTTAAAACAACTTGTCCACATTCAAATAGGTAATGGAAAACTGGAATTAAAATTAGATTCTACTGATTTGGGTTTAACTCATTAAATCTCATTCAAATTTGCTTTAGATTAATGCCTTTATTATGTCCGAATTTATTTCACTGGAGACATGCTAAGTTGTACAGAGCCTGACAGAAGCCTGCTGTTCTTATGTTAATCAAAAAATTTTCTTTTTCTTTTTCCTTATTTGCTGTCTTTAAAACTTTGTTAGTGTCTAAAACATTTCACCAAAGTGTTTCATTTCAGTGTTAACTCAGACACAAGTGATGATAATTATGTTCCAAAGTTTAGAAAATTATGCACAAATTATCAATTAAGCAAATGCTTCAACAGTTATATGCCTCATCAAGAGAAATTATGCAAACTCTGAGAGAATGACAATTTTGCACAAGATGTTTTTATTTATTACATTTCCTAAATTGTTGTGGATAATTTCCAATAACCTTATCAAAATATTACACCATTTACATTCCAGATGAAATTTTGTGATCTGAGATCTTTTCTTCAATGTGTTATAAATATGACAGCCCCGTGCCAATTTTAGATGTAATGGAGTATAAAAAGTTTGTTAAACTTGATGTATCTTTTTTTATTGTTGAGAAAGGAAAGCTACATATTTTAAAAGATTTATGTGTTTATTCAAAATTCAGAGAGAGAAATCTTCCATCTGCTGATTTACTCCTCAAATGACCACAATGACCAGAGCCATTGGCATAGGATTAGCAAGCTACCATGCCAGCCCCAGCTGGGTACTTACAAAGAGTCTTGGGGCTGGCATAATGGCTGAACTGGTTATTTCTCCACCTACAAGTGCCAGCATCCCTTAAGGGCCCTAGTTCAGGTCCTGGCTGCTCCACATTTGATCTAGCTCCCTACCTGTGATCTGGGAGAGCAGAGTAAGATGACCAAGTTCTCAGCATCCTGCACCAGTGTGGGAAAC